CCTTCAAATAATTCGAAACAGAACCAGCAATGCTCTTAAGTCGAACAAAACACAAACCATACAATTAATGATCTCAAACAACTATATGAATACCCCCAAAACCATTAAACCGGATTCAAATCCAATAACCACATAAAAATCCAATCACATACTCAGAATCAACCAAACCTTTTAAACATAGTATATTTCGCGGCTGCACTTAGGTGAGACCCCAGGCTACCTACGTACCCTTAGACAAGGGATCAAGCCACACGTAGTTCTTATCATTAATAGTCACAACTCCAATAACAAACAATTATTTAAAGCAGAACCAACGATACATTTCAGATTTATCACAACTCCAATTCCGACAAAACCCAATGAACACATTCTCAATCTCTTCCTTTTATATTAGTTCAATCCTGTAACCATACCCTATCCAAGGCGTATGTTGTTGAACAACACTTCCCAATTCAGGGCTTAAATATTCATACATGTATAGGGTACTCACAAAGCACAATCTCACTGATCTCAACCCAAAATCAAATCCACATATACATATATGTAATGTGTACGCCTATACATGAATAAATATACATATATATATACATAGATATATAATAACACCCACCTCTCACCATCATCATATACCAGGGGAAAACAATCCAATCGGGGATCGTTTGACTAGTCCACATGAAACCGTCCTCAAATGACCATGTGGCTAGGGACGAGCTGTCCAACTGGGGGACTAACTCCCAGCCAGCACGTACAGACGAAAAATCAAGACCCGTACACCTGAAACAGCCCTACGTGCGCAGACTACCCAATTAAGGGTCTATAGCGACACCCCGTTAAGGTATGCCCCGGGTCCCGTCATATCCAAACCATATCCAAACCATATCCATATATCCATTTTCATGTATCCTAGTGTCCATATCCACTGTTTCCAAATACCCATTTCCATTGTTTCCAAGTGTCCATTTCCACTGTTTCCAAGTATCATCATCCAAGGGAAGGTATATATGATGGCGGAGTTCGTAATCCCTTATATAAATATTATAAAAATAATATTCCCCTCCTTAATTCAATTTTCCCACAATACCTATTCATAGTATAGACAATAAACTCTTAAGCATATTCTATATCCAGGGAGGTACCTAAGGTAGTGCTAATAGCACTCAAACTGACCTTCTAACTCACGTACGTCTTTCTAGTATCTCACATCAACAGCCCAAATATCCTACACATAATCAACCCAGACAGCACTTCCTTAAGTGTTTTATATATATAGGATACTCGAATATGTCAAAACCCACATATATCATAAATACTTTACAAAAATAATAATTTCAACTATAAAATATAAAGTGCATTTCAATAAACCATTAAATTCATATGCATAACATTTCCATCGCAAAACCATGCCATTTATTTGACAACAGTGTCTACTCACTTCCTAATAATCATAGTCGAGTTTCATGACTTACTTTCACAACCAATAATTCACATATCCCCATACTCATCTATTCCATAAATTTCAATTATCGAAATATTATCTAAGAATTCAATAAGATATTATAAACAAGCTCATACTCCCAATATAATCAAAAATAACTCAAATAACTCAAATAACGGTTAAGACTCGTTCACACGGTCGTGCTAGCACTTCACGAAGGGTAAAACTACTTCGGAAGACTCACGGTCGACCAAGGGTCAAACTGTCCAAACTTGGTCAACCGGGCCCGCGGGGCCCATGACCTCCTATTTCTCATTCAGAAGTTCCTAGGAGTTCCACAAGGTCTAAGATACACGTCTTGAAAGTTTGGTCTAGATCAGACGGTCGAATCGCTCACGATCGCACGATCGGACGATTATTGAAAATCACAAACCTTAATTATTTAATCGGAACATCCAGGGCTCCGATTCACGATCCGTGAAATCCTACACAATCCTAGGAATACCTAGATCAACATATATTAATTTGGAAGCGATCCAATGGTTGTAACATATTGAACCCCGAAATCGCACAATATGTAAAATCCGTTCGGGGTTCAAACATTATCCAAATTGAGATCCGCAAATTCCTATGCGCTCGTGGTAACTAGGAGATCATTTTAAGCCAGAAGGTGGTTCCACCACACTGCCCACGCGCCACTACACGTGCTGGCAGCGCGTGGGTGGCTTGATAAATTTCCAGCGGCCGGAAAAACTCCCAAACCGCCGGTCAAGCTTCCTAACCTAGGTAATACACCTAATTTGGAATCACTTTTGTTCTTGGGACTACCCCAAAAAATGGCCGGAAGTGGCCGGATCGGAGGCCGAAAACTGGCAGATTTTTAATCGCTTATTTAACTACCAAAACGCAGAAATTTCTCAAAACTAACACAACCAGCAGCAAGAACAGCTCGAGAGGTTCAATATCCATACCTGGATCGCAAGATTTGGTTGCCGGAATCACCCGAACGCGCTTCCAAAAAATCTGTCAAAATCTGTCCAAAAACAGCTCGGATTTCTGCAATTTCCTATGTTTTGCTATCTGGCTAACCTTTGGGGTTGGCCTTTTTGTATTTTGATTTCTTGTTTTGGTGTTGATCCTTTATATAGTTGAAGAAATCGATCTTTATGGCGTTCACAGGAAGGAAACTATGATACAAATTTAAAGTTAATTTAAAATATGTGAAATTATTAAGAATTTTTGAAGTTTTTAAACTTAAAACTTCACTTGTTTGGTACATGAGACATGTTGGCTAAAAATTCAGCAAAATCTGTTTGATGTTGCAACATGAAAACAAAATGCTTTGTGATCTTCAGTTAAGTCCAACCTTTAGATAACTACAACTATGGGCCAAGCCTCCATCCTGTACATAACAAAAACTGGAAAAACAGAAAGAACGCAAAACAAGAGAATTATCTAATCCCGACAAAATCTTCTGCACTTTCTTATTTATGACTGTAGAAAACCAAAACCTAAAGCTCCCTCGGCTCCTCCTTTATAGTTGTTTAGACGGAAGAGTTGGAATGCTCTGTTCATTTCTGAAAAAATTCTCAGGATCCACCTCTGTTTTAATACGTACTAATCTTTCAAAATTACCCTTGAAGTACTTAGTCCCATACACTTTTGCTTCATCGTACCCGCCTTTCGAATTCGTACCAATGTCAAGGTCACGATAGTTGTAGAAAGCCATCCTGGGATTCTTGGACACATAAGGAGTCATTGCTACATAAAGTTTTTTCATCAAACTCAAGTACCTTTTGGTGGCCTCAAACCCTTCCTCCTTCCAGTTAACTGAATACTGAATCTTGAATAAGTTGCCTGCTCTATGTGGAAATGGAGTAGCTGTCTCTGGAATCTCACTCATTTTTCCTCCATAAGGATTCCACAGCATCATAACTTCTCCAATCTCAATCATCACCTTCCATAAGGCCTCCAAATCTGTCTTTGAAATTGGTTGTTTCACGTAATCAGATTTTCGCTTCAGAAACACTTGCCCCTTGGGGACCCTGTTGAGCAAAACCTCAGGGGAAGTAGTTCCATTCTGGTAGTTTGTCCAATATAAAACTGATTGAATCCAACTCATTTCATGGCAATCTGTTTTCTGCAAACCCAATTGAGGAAAGCTTTGACTCATCAGCTTCAGAAGTCTTTCAGAGTTTCCGAGAAACAAGGACGTGAAAGACACCTCGATTGTTCCATTCGTTGGCTTAATAATTGCTCTTATGAACAAATCGTGATCTAGCTTATCAGCAACTTGTTGCCATTTCACAAGAATGTCTGTTGCACCTTGTGCCAATGTCCTTTTTACATCGAACACTGTCACCGTGGCAGGAACCCTAACAAACTTGATTTTCCAGGCAAGAATGACTCCAAAACTAGATCCACCACCTCCTCTAATGGCCCAAAATAGATCTTCACCCATGGCCTTTCTATCAAGGATTTCACCATTTACATTTACTATTTTTGCATCCACAATGTTATCAGTTGAAAGTCCATATTTTCTCATCATGTTACCATAACCACCTCCTGTGAAATGTCCACCAGCACCAATACTAGGACATACACCAGCAGGGAAGGCATGGTTCTTGCTTTTCATAGAAATTGCATAGAAAATTTCACCAAGTATTGCCCCAGATTGGACCCATGCACTTTCATCCGCCATATCAATATTGATGGACCGGAGATTAAACATGTCGAGAACGATGAAATCTTTTGTATTTCGGGACACATAGGAGACACCCTCATAGTCATGTCCACCGCTTCTTATCCTGATTTCCAGGCCAAGGCTTTTGGCACATATGACAGTGGCTGGAACATGGGATTCATGCTTGGCTGCTACAATTAGCAGTGGTTTCGGGGTTGTCCGGGATATAAATCTGAGGTTTCTCACATATGACTGCAGAACAGAGGAAAAGGAGGCACTTTTGGAGGTGTAAATTGCTTCAGAGATTGGATTTGATCGCTGAGAATGGTTGGAAAGGCATTGGAGAAAATTGTATTCAACTGACGATGAATTGGTACATGAGACTGATATCACACAAAAGATTGAAAAAACTGCAGAGAGTAGTGTTGCATATTCTAAAGCCTTCATTTTTCCGGGCAATGTTGATGTTTCTAATGATCTCAAGGTTGGGATGGAGATGGGTTTTTAAGCTAAATGTGCCTTTGAAGAGAAGAGGATGAGAAAACTTGCATGGTTTTAGGGTTGGCTGTTGGAGCTCATTTCTTTAGGATTAGCATATGATTTTTTAGAAGTAATTAAAATGGTAAAAAAAGCTGTGGTTGAATTTGTAAGGTTCATGACTTTCAGTGGATTTATTTTTGTATGATAAAAAAAGGTTCCTAATGATAGAATTTTTGTAGACTGAGTGCCGGTTCTCAAGGGGAGCAAGCAACTGTGTGATTGCACAAGGCCCCAATTCAATTATAGAAAAGAACTGAATAAAAGAAAACTGTAGGAATAAAATCTTGAGGATCAACCACGGTGCTTTCACTGTGCTCTGCTGCTAAGCTTCACTTCGTCTGTCTAAAGAGGTGGTATACTTTGTTCATTCCTGAAGAAATTTTGAGGATCAACCACGGTTTTCACACGTACCAATCTATCAAAATTATCTTTAAAACACTTGCTGCCATAAACCCTAGCAATGTCAAACTCTGTCTGATTATGAAGATTAGCGCCAATATCAATATCCCTGTAGTTTAGGAAGGCCTCTCTTGGGTTCTTGGAGACAAATGGAGTCATCGCTTCGTACAATTTTCTCGAGAAGCTGAGGTACTTGTTGGTAGTATCAATTCCTTCCTCTGTCCAAGACATATAATACTGAATCTTGAATAGGTTTCCAGCTCTGTGAGGGAATGGAGTGGCTGAGGCAGCAATCTCATCCATTCTTCCACCATAAGGGTTCCATTGCACATACACTTTCTCGATCTTATGCACCATTTGCCAAATGGATTTTATTCCTTCTTTTGGAATTGGTTCTTTCACATAATCGGACTTACTTTTGAAGAAGAATGTTGGCATATTTGTCATGTTAAGTAGAACATTGATGGGAGTTCCAATTGGGTAGCCAGCCCAAAATACAGTGGATTCTACCCAACTCATTTCGAAGCAGTCTTTGCGCTGTAAACCAAGTTTAGGGAAGCTCTCATTTATCAACCGAAGAAGCTCATCAATTTGTCCCAAAAAGTGACCAACGAATGAGACTTCCACGTCCTTTTTCTTCCCCTCTCCATTACTGACTTGCGAAGTTGCTCTTATGTAGGTGTTTTTAGGCAGCTTAGGAGCAACGTATTGCCATCGGTAAAGGACGTCTAGGGCACCTTGTTCAATGCTTCTTGTAACATTGAACACAGTTACTTTAGCTGGAACTCGAACTAACTTAATCTTCCATGAAAGAATGACTCCAAAGCTTGCTCCACCACCTCCTCTAATGGCCCAAAAAAGATCTTCTCCCATTGAATTTCTATCAAGAATTGTGCCATTCACATTAACTAGCTTAGCATCTTCAATATTATCCGCTGAAAGCCCAAATCTTCTCATTGTAGGACCATACCCGCCACCACTAATAAGGCCACCAGTCGCAACAGTTGGGCAAACTCCAGCCGGAAATCCATGAACCTTACTTTTCTCAGCAATTTTGTAATAAAGTTCGCCTGCCGTGGCACCAGCTTGAACCCAAGCGCTTTCATCTGTGACATTTATTTCAATTGATCGAAGATTAAACATGTCAAGAATGATAAATGGGACAGATGAAACGTATGATAGGCCCTTGTAATCGTAGCCACCGCTCCGGATTCTAATATGCAAAGCATGTTGTTTTGCACAAACCACAGTTGCTTGGACATGAGATTCATGCATGGCTGCAATAATAGCCATTGGTTTTGGAATCGTAGGTGTTGAATATCTGCGGTTTTTTATGTATGCATTCAAAACATATTGAAAAGAGGTATTTTTTTGTGTGTAAATGGTTTCAATGATTGGGTAGGAGGACTCAGAAAATTTGGGAAGGCACTGAAGGAAGTCATTGAGATCCGCATAGGCAGTTGCCCATGAGACTGAGGACAGAAGGACTGAGAGAACAAAGAATAATATTGCTTTAGAGGTTGGCACCTTCATCATCTGTCGAAATATTATTATTTTTCGTTGAAAACTAAACCGCAGGTTATGGCTCTTCTTCACTTGGTTGGCAGTATTTCTAGAGAAGTCAAAACCACTGAGAACAGTTTTTTATTTTGGTCAAAACCATGTACATAGATAGATATGCTACCAAAGAATTTTATGGGCTAAAAGAGAGAAACCATGAACGCCTTGCTAGATCTGCTTACCAATAAGAAAATCTGGCCAAATGAAGAAATTAGTTTCATTGAATTGGAAGGCTTATAAATTTCCAAGGAACAAAATTTAGAATTTGAAGTGGCTTCCAAATGCACAAGGATGTGTTTTTGGGGTTAGGTCAAATCAAATCGTGAGAAATATTGGAGCAAAAATTAGTACAGGTCAAATGTTGGATCTTAGTAATGCTGTACAATGCCATTCACCTTGTAATTCAAAGCTAGTTGGCTAAAGCATTGTCTTAATTATATAAGAGGGCTTTGTATTTTCACATTGGACATGAGTTACAAACATGAATAAATTTCATAGACGAATTTTAAAAAATAACATTAATTTAGAATTTAAGGAGTTGTTAACATAAATTGTGGCGAGATTGACTTTAATTAGGAGATTTAATTCATATTCTTATTATTTTATTTCTCTCTCTTTTGTACAGATCTTGTGCAATTATGACTTTATTTGTTTCCTTGTTATTGAATTGAACCCCAATAATGCTACGGGCACCAACTTGTTTACCAACTTATTGATACCAGCACATGTAGCACATGAAATGGCTGTCCAAATCATATGCCATCTCATTCTTGTTTTTTTTTTTTTTTTTTTGCCATCATCTTTTTGTTTCAACAAAAAGAATTTCACCCAGCAAAAACAAAAAAATTAAGAAAAGAAATAAATAGAACACCCAACAATTTTAGATTCAACGTTAAACTCATTCCCCTCCTTCCTCCCCTTCACCTCTGTAAAACCCTAAAAATATACAGTCCCTCCATTAAAGGTCCCTTCTGAAAAACCCTAGGATGTATTATCACAAACAAATTAGTTTAAATTCATTTTTCAATTCCAAGAACAGGAAGATTCCACCAAGCAAACAAGGTTGAGATTAACGACTCTTTTTGCTTTATTCTTATTGACATGGGTATCGCTAGTGTCAGATCTAAAACTTTCAAAAATTCAAGAAATCCAATGATTGTTCTCTCATGAAATATAATAACCAAACTTCCAACAAAAACATATTTGCAACCTCGCTTAATTCAATTACTTCAATGCGGTGGCGGAGTCCATGTACAGGACTTGGCCTATACCAAGAATTACATGTAATTAGCACTATATTTATATGTATGTATGAGCAAATAAATAGAAAGAGAAAATTCATATAGCAAATAAAAACAAATCTGATAAATGGATGAGCATGCAGCAAAAGGAGTAAGTTTCTCAAAAATCTCTTACCAACTGTAATTTACCGTTTCATTTCGACATGGGTCTGATATGAAGGCCACTGCTTTGGTGAAGCATGTGATCCCAATTGCTTTTCACTTTCGTTTATAATAGTAGAGAAGTAGAGATAAATACCTCCTTTTGGAGAATGAAATATATAACAAAAAATATTTCACATCAAAAAATATTAAGAAATATATAACATGAAAATGTTAAATATTTTCGTTAGTATATATACAGATACTTCATAATGGGGCCGGTTAGTTCTTTGGGTTTTACAGCAATCTTGATGAGATACTATAAATTATTAACATTAATGTAGGATTGGAAGAAAAAGAAAAGGAATACATTAATTTCAAATCATGTATATTCTATGTAGTCGTTTTGAATCCAAAATGTTTATTACATTTTATGTCGCATTGTTTAAGTCCACTTCAAAACGCGGCTATACTTGGCTTTCCTTAATTTTTTTAAAAATAAATAGTATAGCCAGGCGGCTATACTCGGTTTTTTCCTAATTTTTTTAAAAAGAAATAGTACAGCCAAGCGGCTATACTCGGTTTTTCCTAATTTTTTAAAAAGAAATAGTACAGCCACCCGGCTATACCCAATTTTTTTTAAAAAAATACTATAGCCGCACGGCTTTGCTCTTTATATATATATATAGTGGAATTCTCTTTTTCCTTTATATTTTTTTCACCGATTTTCGTTTATCGATAAGAGTAGTTTAGAGCATTATCCATTACTATTAGGCCATTGGCCGAGTCTCTATTGTCCCTTTTTTATTTTTCATTTTTCCAAAGTTATTACCCGTATAAAGAATTTAGCACTTTCACATTTAATACAATATTATACACTTACGTACCTATTTTTGAATAATACATTCGTGTCTTGTATACGTCTTAAAGACTCGGTAAAATTCATGTTTTTTTAAAAATCAAACATACAATACTCATATTGAACTTGTACTTACGTATTTTTTTTACCAAATTTTCAATAATACACCCATAATTCTAAAAAAAAAATTAAAAAAATTAAAAAAAAAAATTATATAGAGATCAAACTTTTAAGTTGTAATTTTCCAAAATTTTGCCGAATATAGTCATGCGGCTATACCAAATTAATCTATATATATAAAGCAAAAGGTAGAGAATGGTGAAACATTCAAAATACCAAAAAATGCCCTTGTTTAATGCAAACATTAAGAATTGAAATTATTAATTAAATGAGGATAATATGGTAAATTCACACTTTTTTACATTTAAAAAAAATAAAATTAAAAGAAAAATCAGACAATGTATCCTAGTTTTATGGAACACAACTACCCACTATCTTTTTTAATTCTAAAATAAATTTTAATTTTAATTTTTTTTTTTAAAAGCATTTCGCAGGCGCGGAAGCGCATGTGGAAAGACTGGTATCTATAAAGTACAAACCAATGCAACAACTAGGAGGGTCCTTTATTTATTTATTTAATAGTATAGCCGCGCGGCTATACTGGGTTTTTTCCTAATTTTGTTTGAAAAGAAATCGTATAGCCGACCGGCTATACAAGGCTTTTTAATTTTTTTTAAAGAAATAGTATAGCCGCGAAGCTATACTCGGTTTTCTCTCATTTTTTAAACGATATCGTATAGCCGCGCGGCTATACTGGGTTAATTTTTTTTTTTTAATGAAATGGTATAGCCGAATGGCTATACTGGGTTTTTCCTTCATTTTTGAAAGGAAATAGTATAGCCGGGCGGCTATACACGGTTCTCTAATTTTTTAAACGAAATAGTTTAGCCGCGCGGCGATACCCATTTTTATTTGTTTTTATTTTTTAACAATGAAGTACCATAAACTTCAAGAGCTACTTCGTTTGACTAAAATTTCCTCAAATCTGAGCAGAAACACAATCACTCTAAGAAAATAGTGAAAGAAAGAAATTATGCTCTGTGATGAGCTACCCATATTCCCCCCCTGTTTTTTTTTCTGTCTCCTAACGAGGTGGGATACTTTGTTCATTGTTAAAAAAATTACAAGGATCAACCATGACTTTCACACGTACCAGTCTATCAAAATTCCCTTTAAAATACTTGCTTCCATAAACTTTCGCAGTTTCAAATTCTGTATGATTCTGCCGATTGGCACCAATATCGAGATCCCTATAGTTTTGGAAGGCCTCTCTGGGGCTCTTGGAAACATACAGAGTCATTCCTTCATACAATTTTCTTACAAACCCAAGATGTTGTTTGAGGGTTTCAGCCCCTTCTTCCACCCAATACGTCACGTATTGAATCAAAAATAGGTTTCCATCTCTATGAGGAAATGGAGTTTCCCACTCCGGAATCATACTCATTCTTCCACCGTAAGGATTCCATTGCATCAACACTTTGTCCATCTTAAGCATCATTTGCCAAATGGATTCAATTCCTTGTTTTGGAATTGGTTCTTTCACATAATCAGACTTACTTTTGAAGAAATTTGGTGGCCCCTGTGGCCTATTAAGTAGAAAATTTACGGGAGTTCCAATTGGCTGGTCTGCCCAGAATAGAGTGGATTCTACCCAACTCATTTCAAAACAATATTTTAGTTGCAAACCCAGTTCAGGGAAACTTTCATTCATCAATGGCACAAGCTTGTCCCTTTGTCCCAGAAAGAGACCAACGAATGATACTTCCACAGTCTTCTTGCCCTCAGTACTATTCTTCAGTCGCATAATTGCTCTGATGAAGATTTCATCAAGCAGCTTTGGTGCTACGTATTGCCACTTATAAATGACATTTAGGGCACCTTGCTCCCAAGTTCTTTTAACGTTGAATACAGTCACATTGGCTGGAACTGGAAGAAGCCTGATCTTCCATGAAAGAATGACTCCAAAGCTTGCTCCGCCACCTCCTCTAATGGCCCAAAAAAGATCCTCTCCCATTGAATTCCTGTCAAGAATTGTCCCATTCACATTAACAAGTTTAGCATCTTCTATATTATCCACTGTAAGGCCATATTTTCTCATCATAGGCCCGTACCCGCCACCACTAAAATGACCACCAATTCCAACAGTTGGACAAGCTCCCGCTGGAAACCCATGAACCTTACTTTTATTTGCAATTTCATAATAAAGTTCACCGATAGTAGCCCCAGCCTGAACCCAAGCACTCTCATCCGCGACATCAATATCAATAGATCGAAGATTAAACATGTCAAGAATGATAAAGGGGACATCGGATACGTATGATAGGCCTTCATAATCATGGCCACCACTTCGGGTTCGAATCTGCAACCCTTGTTGTTTGGCACAAATCACAGTTGCTTGGACATGAGATTCATGCAGTGCTGTGACAATAGCCAATGGTTTTGGAGTTGCAAGTGTAGAATATCTGCTGTTCCTAATGTATCCCAACAAAACAGATTGAAATGAGGTATTTTCATGGGTGTAAATGGCTTCAAAGATTGGGTAGGCAGATAGAGGTTGTTTGGGAAGGCATTGGAGGAAGCCAGTGAGAACTAGATCTGAAGTTGTCCATGACACTAAAAGCGAAAGGACTGAGAGAACGAAAAGTACTCGTACCTTCATTTTTTTCTTCCCT